TTTGGTCAAATCTTGGCACATCTGCAATGCAGATCTGCTTCAAATCTGCAGAATCCCTTTGCAGAATCTGCAAAGTTACTGCAAAGATTTTTCCAGATTTATGTTGCAGAAAAATCACCTGGGTAGTAAGATTTCTCTTATATTTGTCTAAGATCTTAGAAAAATCTTAGCAAACCTTAGAATTTGCGGGTCTCACGATCTTAGTAAGATGCGTGTAAGTTTTTTACTAGGGAACTTATTTTTAAATAATCACGAGAGTTAGTATTACCGGGCACGGTCAAATAACTCTGCTACCGGAGTGAAATTTTGTGACGAAATTTTGACATTTTGCTGTGTCCATATCTTTTTAGCAAAAGCACGGGCGGTGTTGTGGAGCGTTTAGACTTATAAATTAAACGTTTCTCTACAAAATGAGGTATCTCGGAGCTCTATACGTTTCTTTGTTTATACAATAAACGGTAAATACTAAATGCTACTTTTCCAAAGGGAACCTTGAGAAGGCATTTTGTATTTTCCTTTTAGTTGTTAAACAAGGAGATGTATGGAGCTCCAAGGCGCCTGATTTTGTAGAAAAACGTTTGCTTTACAGTTCCAGACGTCCGACTCCGGTAGCAGAGTTATTTGGCCGTGCCGTATCATAGTTTGTGTGGTAGTTTTTTAAGTTCCTTTCATACTACGTCTGTCTTTTCAAGGTGGATATAGCATCAGGCGTTCATGGTAAAGCTGAAGAATTGTTCTTATGGCTTGTATTCATGAATCGATTTGACATGGCCCTGTGTTTGTGTTCTCAAGTTCGGGTAAGTAGGCCAAGTTTTTCCACACATCAAATTATAGATATATACGGTATATTCTAGAGCCCAATTGTTGCCTGTTTACTTGGTTCAAAAATTTATCGTACAGCTGCAAAACGTGCCGATACAGAACTTGACAAAGAAATAGAACAAGATTATTTTGATAAATCAAAGTGTGTTGAAATATACACTACTTAGAGTTTTCTTCATGGGCGTGGGAGGAGAGGGGGAGGTGGCGATGTGTACACATATAGGATAAAATTTTCAGCATGATCGAAGACAAAAACAAGTATTCCTTTAGGATCAGGCTTTCAAAAACTTCTTGAAAGTTCGAAATGTTTATCTGGCTCTTGGTGCACAGATTACTCAGCTTTTTATGCCAATCCGAACTTTTAAAAAGGTTTACGAGAAAGCTATTTTTTTGTCTGGGCAATCGAAGGCTGCTACGTAAACTTACACAACAGTCGGGGGTCATGTACATGCAAACAGCGTAATTTATTCCCGAGAAAGCGAAAAGCGTTTTCAGAAACAATGATAGGTGAGCTTGTGTCAGCGGTTTATCTTCCACAATTCTGATCAGGTCTTAGACTTTAAGCTGTCGACGTACGAGAACGCTGGAGTATTCCTGACTCCTATTGCTTTCTGTCTGCTGATCTCAAAAGTAAGTGGACACATAGTTCTTCGATCCCATTCTCAAGCTGGCAGCAATGTTTGTTTTAGTCCGAGGGTTGAAAGAATACCAGAAGACTTATTAATGAGAAAACACAGGTTTTCTCCATTTAAACGCGTGCACATAAAGAAAAATTCATAGAATTTCCTGAATCGCTGGCCTAAATGCTTCAAAATTTTGGGATAAACTCAGATTAGTGTTCTGTATATGGTAAGTTGCCGAATGTCACTGGTTGAAGAAAAAGGGTTTTCAGGACACCTGTGGAAAGCTTAACGGCCAAAAAACGCAGTTTTCACTATTCTGATCGCACCAATCCATGGGTTGCCCTGCTATGAGTATAGATGGAAGTTATTGAAAAAACAATGACCGGTTGCCTCTTAAACTGAAAATCGAATGGCTGTCGTTATTTACAACTGATAAGATGTATCCATGTAAACTTTTGTCTATGACTGTGTTTCTAGAAACTTTGATCAGCATGCTAGTCGCATCATCGATGAATGCTACAAGATAGACAAAAATCTAGCTGTAAATATATTCGAATCACCAAGTGTTGTATATTTCAATTTAATACCGTTGCAATTGGCACTCAATGCCGGTTGTAGAAAATTCTTAGCAGCTGATGCTGTACAACACTATTGTCATTATAAATGGTACGAACATATTGACAGTGATCAAAAATTGTTAAAAATCTGTGTTCGTAAATGGGTTAGTGTTTTTTAAGATTATAGTTTGTGTTTGTTTGTGTAACAAATGTTTTTCGATTGTAGATATTGCTGTCTGTATTGGTTATTCCACTTGTTCCCATTCTTTCGCTGTTTTTACCATCGATCAAAGATAAAGAAGTGGTGGGTTATTTGAACCCCAATTTCACTTTTTTGCAATGGCTATTGGTAGCACTTGTAATGTCACCGAGGAAGTATTGCCACTTTTTGGAGGCACGCAGGCACTGCAGATCTCCGGAAAATGAATCGAATGAGATATATCCATTTTTCAAATATTTTGACAATAACTCCATCAATATATAACCGTTTCCATTTCTGAGCAGACATTCCTGTACAAAAAGCATTCATGTTTGGAATGAAACATGTGCTAGGGGTAGGGATTAAATAGTTATAAAAATATGAAAAATACTATAAATGGTCAAAAGCAGAAACGGCGGACCGGCTCAGTAATGATGACTTCCGAAACGTTTCTGCTTTTGACAGTAGCAGACTGCGAGATTTTGGCTGAATTAGTTTTATTACATGCTTGTTCGAACCAGAGTAGAGAGAATTAAAATAAAAAAATGTCTGGCGACTGACATGGGAAGCGGTTTTCTTGCGAAGCCTGTCTCTTAAAACGTTGATACGGCTGTGAGCAAGACGAGACAAACAAAATAAAACAAAATTCGAAATCTGTTGCATAAAACAGGATTATGAGCAAAATACTGCTGGAACACTAGTTTTGCAAAGATAACAGGATTCAGTCATATGTTTCAGGAACTTGCCAATACAAATCCAAAAGTATCGGCCATCACCTATGAGCTCGAGTAAGAGTTTTTTCCATTTGTTAATGGAATATTCTATCAAATTTTCGTTAAGCAGAATACCACCAAACGAAGAGAAAATTACATTGGCCCGTCGTGTTAAATGGTTTTATGATGCACCGATTGTACGCTTTTATTATCATGTGGTAAGTTTTTGGAGCTGATCAACACACATGACATAAATATGTTTTAAATTTTAGATATTTTTTATATTATTTTTGGGTTTATTCAGTTTTGTTCTTTTGGTTGATTATTTTCCGTTGAATATATATGGTGAAACACGTTCGGGTATACAAAATTTACTAATACCGAGCACGGAAATTATTTTACATATTTGTTTTTGGGGTTTAATTATAGATGAAATATATCAGGTATAGAGAAAATCATACAGAATAAAGTTCGAGTTTTTATTGAGAACCTTTTTTCTATTTAAAATAGTGGGTTAAACATCAAAGAAAGGAGCAAGATTACAGCGGAGATGTGCGAAATATTTCAGATATTTTTGGAATTATTTTATATTTGATTGGATTTATAACACGATTCATTGTTTTAGAAGCAGCTTTTATTGTATCAAAGTAACTTTAAATGATGGTGACTAAGAGCTTTCTAGGCGGTATCTTAATTATATATTTTTTTGTTAGAATTTCGATGTGTATGGCATTAATTTTTTGGTCGATACGTTTATTACATTTATTTGCTGCCTATGAATCACTTGGGCCAACATTGGTTATGATCTTTAAAATGGTATTTACGTTTTTACATTTAGTTTCTGAAAATAATAGTTTGGTTTTTCTTGTAGACCCAACAAGCCATGTTAATTTTTATTTGTTTTATTTTAATATTTTTATTTTCATTTTCCATAACATCTATGTCCCTGCTAACAACAACATCCCAAGTAACCTGGATGTATACTGATGATGGACAATTGTTTAACGCAACAGTGTCCGTTAATGGATCTGGAACAGAGACGTGGAACTGGCAATTATTACGAGATGTTATCACCTGGGGAATCTGGAAAGTATTTGGACAAATTGATGAACCAATTAACAATAGCGTTAGCAGTAAGTTGCACGAAGAAAAGAATGTGTGCTCTGTAAATCTTTCGGATCCTTTTATAGCTAACGATTCATATGGTGCATTTGTTTTTATATTTGCCATTTTATTTGTTGTAATTGCTAATGTTCTGTTGTTGAATGTGCTGATTGCAATGTTCAAGTAAGTTACGTTTTTATAATTTATAGGGAAAGAGCCGTTTTTTTAACTGAAAGTATATAAGTACTATGAACATAACTGGCTAAATTGTATCCGCAGTGAACAGTTCCTGTTTTGCGCTAATCCTGTAATAAAATTAGTTCTATTCAACAGATTTCAAAGGATTTTTTGCTACTACTCCATCATGTGTGAGCATTCACTTCGGAAAGAATCAGCTGTCAGCTCCATAAAAACACCGTAGTATTCATCGAAGAGGTTAAAAACTAATGTTTTTTAAGAGAGTTCATGAAAAAAACCTCATTGTATTCAACGAAATTTCAACAAGTGAGAAGATAATACTTTGGTAAAAAGACCTTCTCCAACTTCACTGCTTAGTACAGATGTGGAACAATCACACATTGTATGTACTAACGTTCCACTTTGTTTCGTCGATGATTCCCATCAAATCTGTTTGGCTGACCTCTTTGGGAAAAAATCAGTACAAAATCATTTAACTTTTCCAAAAAACCAAGGAAATGCGACGAAATGTGCATAGTCATTTTCCACAAAACTGCATATGCTGCTATTAAAGTTAAAATATCTGCACAACCCAGGCAAACATCACCTATGAGAAAATCTAGATACATTTCGTCTGTAATCGGGCGATACACAACTATTATTGGCGCCAAAATGACAAAAGTTATAGTGCAGTCGGTTGTTTTTGTAATAACTCAACAGCGATAAGCGCTAGAGGCTTGCGGTTTTCAGCAATCAAAAGTAGACACTTGAAGCTGACGTTATATATTTTCTTTTTTTTCTAAACCAGTTTATTTAAAACTACGTAACAAATTTACACAACAAAGCGGGCCTAGCCCATTATATGTTGAGAGAAAGTGAACCGACAAAGTAAAAGAGAGAAAAAGGAAAAAAACATGAGAAAATCATAAGAAAAAAGCATGAGAGAATCATTAAAACAATACATATAAAAGCCCATAACCGAAATAAAAACAGTAATGAATATACTATATAGCAAGAAGAAAGAACAAAGTAAGAATGCAATTCAGTAAATTAATCTGAATGAATGATCTAAGCAGAAACGAGGGAGGAGAGTGGAATATAATCTGTCTGCCAGGGTGAATAGTGGAGATGCAAGGAAAAGAAATACACAGCATCAAGGCGGCCGAAAACGACTGGTACATTTAATATATCGAATGATAGCTAAGTAGACTTCTCCCAGTTGTGATACGGATAGGGTAGCCATACATGGATAGCGTAATAAAATATGGTCAATAGTGATCTTGTTGTTATTTAAAACTCTTGTTATAACATGAAATAAATCTGTGCGAGTCTTATTGTGTAGCGAACAATGTAAGAAAAAATGGGCTACAGAATCCACAAGCACAGTTAGGAGACGGTACAAGTGAGCGTGCATACAGATCAGCATTCAGCTGACTAAAACTCAGCCGACATCTCGCAAAGTCAATGTCAAAAATGCGCTCATTAGGTATTATAAGCAAACACTGGTTTGAAAAAACTTCGGAAAACTGTGTTTGAAACCTTTGAAAAACTAGCTTGGATTTTCGAAACCAAAAATAGCAATCCATCAGTTTTTTCTCATAGGTTGATAGACCAAAGTTCTTCATCTTCTAAAATTTGGATCTAAGCGACCTCTGGCTGTCGCTGAAGGGACAGGGTTTTACCTGAAACTATATGACTCCCATTAAAGTGGACCTAAGAACGGTGAAGACACATGGAAAGATAGGTTATCGGCTATGCTGAATCTCGTGGCAACGTTTATTTTTCAATAAAGTTCCAAAAACCTAGTGAAAACGTACATTAGGTGGAATATCCATTTTTGTCTATTTTTGAGTAAATTCAGAAAATTCATTACCCAGTCAGAATCAAATCAAATTATGCCAGAACATCAACATGTACTCTATTTTACCTGCTCAATACTCTGCAGCTCAACAAAAAACCTTAAAAGCCAACAGAAAATATTGTTTTTTTCTATATTAATAAATATAGGTTTTTAAAAAGGTTCTCGAGAAATCTTCTGAAAATACAAGAATATTTTTTACTATTCTCAAGTAAAAAACGTTTAGAGCAGATACGATAGGGTACATATTGATATTCTGACGTGATTTGATTTGATTCTGACTAGGTAATGAACTTTTTGAATTTACTCAAAAATAGACAAAAATGGATATTCCACCTAATGTACGTTTTCACTAGGTTTTGAGACTTTATTGAAAAATAAACGTTACCACGAGATTCAGCATAGCCGATAACCTATCTTTCCATGTGTCTTCACCGTTCTTAGGTCCACTTTAATGGGAGCCATATAGTTTCAGCCAAAACCCTGTCCCTTCAGCGACAGCCAGAGATCGCTTAGATCCCAAAAAACCGCAGGCCTCTAGCGCTTATTGTTGTTAACTACAGAAAGGCAGTTAATTTTAGTGCGGTTTAGAAGGGGGAAATAGCCCACCTCTGGATTCCTGTACTTCTGCAGCACAGGAATCCAGAAGTGCGCTGTTTCCCCTAGGGCTTTTACAACCAAAAACTACTCGTTCAGTCATCATTGAGTTATGTGCACGGAAAATAAAATTTTGATAGACGATCGTCATAACTTGACCATTGGTTGTACGATTTCTTTTTGTCTTTAATTCACTCAATTATTTTTTATTAGACAGACAACGCCATAACAAGTAAATATTTATATACTATTCTAGCAAAATTTTGGTGTAGTACTAAGATTATGTTTGGTGACGGGACTAAATACTAGATCAGACGACTGTTATACAAACAAATAAACATTTAGTAAAAATCTAGAAAATATTCTTCACAGCAGGTGCTATTCCAAACGATTTTCTGCTTATTTTTTTCTTTTATTCAATAGTAACACGATAACAAACATTCAAGCAAAGTCAAAAAGGTTATGGCGTTATCAACGTTTTCTTATTATTCATGAATATCATGAAAGAACGCCGTTGCCACCTCCGTTCAACATTTTTTGTTATATTTTTTATTTCCTCCGATATCTATTGCGTCACTGTCAATGTTGGCACCGTTTTAGAAGTTCGTCCTTCCTAACAGATTCAGCATCTTTATGCAATTGTATATGATGCATATTTTAGCGTCACCAGCTATTGAACATCGAAACAATAATATGTCGTCAGTAGCGATTAAAACAACTCAGCTAGTGGCTCGAGAAAAACAGATAGCAGAATTATATTGGAAAAATTATTTTATTACAGAAGAAAAAGCGAAAAAAACAAAGGTGGATTTGAAAAATATGGAAACAAAGTACGGAACCAACTAGTGGCTATCAAAATAGCCAGATTTAGCTCGGAGCCCAAAAACGGAGCAAATTTGAGGTTTTGGCATTGTTCCAAAGGCTGGTTTCTAGGAATTTTCTAGAAATCTTGTTAAAACCACTGTCATAAATGTAGTATGGTAATAAGGAATCGCATAAGAATCGGATGATTTATAAATATGTGACAGAACGCTGGAAGTTGTTTATAAATTTGAAAAATGCGCTTTTAGAACATTTAAAAAGGAGAAAGTCTTAAATTTGTTGTGAAGGTGAGAAAAGTTTAAATCCTTTAAAAAGGTTACAAAATTTCACAACCATTTTGGCTTTTTACAAGGTTCTAAGTTTTGAAAAATCTCAACTTGTTCAAACGTATGAAGTTTTCTGAAAACCTATATATTTTTTGAAATATTTAGTATTTTTTGAACATTTTGAACACCTTTGAAAAAAACTGAAGTTTTGTTTCAAAAATTTGAATGTTTTCGGGAAATTCAAACTTTTTGTAAAACTGAAGTACTCGAAACTTATCTATCCCCAGTCAGTCATAGTCATTTCAGAAAAGCGCAGGAAACTCTCTTTACGAAAAATTTGACGCGTTTAGCGAGTTTCGAATAATAACGCGCAAGAAGCTGAGAGTGTGTAAAGATAAACTGCAGGAACACGCCTGTAAAACCTTTGTTTCTACGGCAACGTGCGTTTCCTGCGGTTTATTTTTACACACTCGCAGTTTTTTGCGCGTTATTATTTGAAACTCGCTAAACGGGGTAATAGGCAACCGAGGGTGCTAATTCTGAACGTCAACGTCAGACAGGCTCTTACGCCTTTTCTAGCCGGCTTCTGGAAAACTGGTCTTCCAGAAACCTCGCAAAATCCCCAAAACCTTTTCTGAATACATTATGACTGTAGCCTGCGAAAGTCTAATCAAAATGAGATATTTCTCGGTTTTATACGACCTTCCTTTGCAAAGTTATAGAATTTACAAAAAAAGCCCTAAATCTTGTCACCTCAGAGCTACAGCAAGGAAAAGGAAAAATGAATATAGGGCTTATCTTGTAAATTCTATAACATTGTAAAGAAAGGTCGTGTAGAGCTGGCAGATGTCCCGTTTTGATCAGAATTTCGCAGGCTACAGTAATAACGTATTGAGAAAATATTTCCGGAACTTTTCGAAATTTCTGCAAGACCAGTTTTTCAGAAACCGGCTAGGGAAGGTCTAATGATCCGTGTCATGCTGATATTCAGAATCAGCACTCTCGGTTACATATTACCCACTAGGTTTCGACTCAAAAGCGATTTATCACTGGTTAGCTTTTCCGCGTGAGACTTGAAAGCCCGAAATATTAATACCTCCAAGACATACCTATGGGATGTCAACAGAGCTTACCGCCCAACAGAGGTCGAAAGGGGTCGGGTCGAATCGAGTTCCGGACAAGAGCATAATTTTCGCAGTCAAATAATTAAAAATTGCCGTGACCTTGTTCACTTCAAGACCAAAAAATCGAACTTTGCGGTTGATTTGTCCTCTTTTTCCGCCAAAACATGGGGCAAAATAGTTCGAATAGCGCGAAGTTTTGATCGCAGCCTCCTGGTCTACTTCTATCCCTAAGACCCAACAACAGGTACGATAAGCTATTGTTTTATGAGCTTGGCTTTTCTTTTTTGTTTTAGGTTAGAAAAGATGTACGATACAATTATTCGCAATAATCAACCAACAGAACAGGTGAATCTTCTTCACTTCTTCGCTTTTGTTCGTAGAGATGATGAGAAAGAGTAAAATGTACGTTTTTGTCTTCTCCAGTTAGAACCGGATTTTGTACGTGGCTTAATGAAACTATATTACGAACATCCGGAAGATACTCCTCCTGCTGCAATAAATACACAACGAGCAGTGCCGCATAGCAATCAGCTGGTCAACGGCTTTGAAGAAGAGTTTGGACTTAATGAACAGCTGTTGCCAGTGACGCGACGATCCCGTCAAAGATCTCTAACCCCACATTTATCAAGTTCAACCGAGAGATTATCCGCATCATCAACCGACAATGTACCTAGACCGCGGTCACGTCAAGCACTGTTAACAGAGGAGAATAATAATAGACCTCCAAATGTAAGAGGTATACCAAAAGTGTTACAACGGCAACGGGAATGAGCGCCATCGAAGTGATAACTTGAATATTTTTTTTGTGATAATGAACCTTTTTTGTTATTTTAATGTGTTGTGTAATACCTCATTGCATCATTCATCAAAGAATGTTATCTTATCTTCGTCTTAGAGCTGCAAGTATCGTTCACCTTCGATCACTCCGTCCCTTGATTGTCCGGCGGTGTTGTACTTCGAAACTAGAAGTTAGCGACAGTTTTAAAAAGTGCCAAATACTTTCAAAAGGGTGAAGACAGTAGAAAGTCTCAGGCTAACGGCCGCCAGTATATTCAGCTACTGCTTTCTGTTTACACGAGGTCCGAAGCAAATCAGGCACGTCACTTGTTTTCGTTCATGTCTAGTCTGAGCAGTTCCAAGGTTTGTATCAGCTATTTCGCAAACAGCCGGATCACCGACGGACTCTGGATCCGACGTATGATTGTAACCACTCCAACTGCTGCCCGATCGCTTTTTTCACGAAACCTAGTGGACAGTAGGTAATCAAGTGTCCTGAATCCGAATGTCATAGTGGTTTGGGCGTCTAGGCCTCCAAAGGGTTTTCTCGAACACCAGTTTTTCAGAAACTCTAAACACTGACTAGAACGTTTCTTAATAAGACATAATTGTAGCCCGCACATTTCTGATTAAAATGAGACATCTCCAGCTCTACACAATCTTTCTCTGCAAAGCTATAGTCGACGGAGTAAAAGTGATGACTCATAGCATTATTTGCTAGCGTAGATTGCAGCGATCCGAACTATCCAAATAACACTTTATAAGCCAAGAACATGTGCACTTATATGATTTTAGTGTCAAAAACGCCTGCGCCCTTTACATTATGCAAAGTTCAACTTTGCACGTTTTCCAAAATACTGCATATACTGGAATGTTTCTCGGTAAGTCATTCTCACAATTCCTTCCTCCCGAAACAATTTTACTTAACAAGCAGTATTTAAAAACATTCTTGACATGAGATATGTCATTTAGGAGTCTGAACTTTACATTAAGTAAGGTTCAACTTTGCACGTTTTCAAGAACATTTCAACTGCAAACTAACAGAATTAAAATAATAAATAACTATAAAGCTCACGAAGATTTTCTCAAATAGATCCCATAATTCCTATAATTTCCATACTATTTATAATTCCTAGAAAACTAGGATAACTTCAACCTACGTATTGTGTATTATGTATTACGATAGTATATCCACTAGTGGATCCGATTACGATTCGTATTTGCTTGATGACATCTCCGATAGCAGACATTATGAGTAAATAAAGAAGTTGGAAAATATGACTTGATTGATGAAGGAAGATTGTTGACGAAGGTAAGAAAAATAGTTGGTCCGAGAATATTTCCTTCCTCAAGTGTGACTTGAACCGCAGAGGAATATGATTCTTTAACTACTACTGTTTGTGTACGATCAGAAAGGTAGGACTCAATAATTCCAGAAGAACGCCTGAAACATCGACAGACGCAAGTTTTTGGAATAGAGTGCGGATTTTTTCAAAGCCTTTTAGAAGTCGAATGAATTATCGATGAGCAACAACAATTAAAATAATTCTTTGTTATCAATAAGATGCTCTGATCATAGCCATTATTCCTCATTATTGTTTTTAATTGACCATTTGCTTAATGTGAGAAAAAACTGGAATATTATTCATATTTGACGATTTTTGGCCTGTGCTTTAGCCCAAATTTTACCATTTTTCTCAGACAAATAACAAAAGTCTACTTTTATAGGGAAATACGAAGCCCATCAGTGTAAAATGCGATCAATGCTTTGTTTCTCAGTTTTACCATTTTCATAATGGAAAAGAAAATTTTACCAAATTTTTATCTCACACATATGCGATTAGATTTTTCGGAACTACCACCTAGAGATCCGTCGGCATCTGAATGATTTACTACTTGGAGATCGACTTCATCTGGAATCCAGGTGACCTCAGCACAGTGGGCATTCAGACGGAAATTTGCTCAAAAAATCGACAAGTGAGCTTTTTTGAATTCGAACAGTAGTAAATGTATTCCTTGAAAAGCGCTATCGAATGGTATATAATGATCGACTAGTAATGAACTCCTTCGATGAGTAAGTTAACTTACGAACATTCACAAAAAACACCGT